TTCCTCCAATCCTGATGCCCCTTTCTTCTTCATATAGTCCAGCTTCTCAGATTATTTGCTCAGCATATAGACTGAATGACAATGGTGAAAGGATACAACCTTGACGCACACCTTCCCTGATTTTGAACCACGCAGTATCCCCTAGTTCTGTTTGAACGACTGCCTCTTGGTCTATATACAGGGTCCTCATGGGCACAATTAAATGTGCTGGAATTTCTATTCTTCTCAATGTTATCCATAAGTTGTTATGGTCCACACAGTTGGATGCCTTTGCATAGTCAATAAAACACAGCTAAACATCTTTCTGGTATTCTCTGCTTTCAGCCAACATCCATCTGACATCAGCAATGATATCCCTCATTCCACGTCCTCTTCTGAATCTGGCTTAAATTTCTGGCAGTTCACTGTTGATGTACTATTGCAACCGTTTTTGAATGATCTTCAGCAAAATTTTACTTGCATGTGATATTAATGATTGTTGTCGTTGTTGTTAGGTGCTGTCGAGTTGGTTCCAACTCATAGCGACCCTATGTACCACAGAAAGAAACACTGCCTAGTCCTGTGCCATGCCCACAATAGTTGTTATGCTTGAGCCCATTGTTGCAGTCACTGAGTCAATCCATCTCACTGAGGGTCTTCCTCTTTTTTCGCTGACCCTGTACTTTACCAAGAATGATGTCCTTCTCCAGGGACCCCTCCTGACAACATGTCCAAAGTATGTAAGATGTAGTCTCGCCATCTTTGCTTCTAAGAAGCATTCTGGTTGTACTTCTTCCAAGACAGATTTGTTCGTTCTTTTGGCAGTCCGTGGTATATTCAATATTATAACTTATTATAATATAATGGTATATTCAATATTATAACTTAATTATTATAAACTTAGTCTGGAAGCTCAGCTGAAACCTGTCCGCCATGGGTGACCTTGCTGGTGTCTGAATACCGGTGCCATAGCTTCCAGCATCACAGTAATGCACAAGCCCCCACAGTACAACAAACTGACAGATACTTAGGGAGATATTAATGATACTGTTTGATAATTTCCACATTCCATTGGATCACTTTTCTTTGGAATGGGAACAAATATGAATCTCTTCTAGTCTGTTGGACAGGTAGCTGTCTTCCAAATTTCTTGGCATAGACAAGTGAGCACCTCCAGCGTGGCATCAGTTTGTTGAAACATCTCAACTGGTATTCCATCAGTTCCTGGAGGCTTGTCTTTCACCAATGCTTTCAGTGCAGCTTAGACTTCTTCCTTCAGTACCACTGGCTCTTTTGATATATGCTACCTCCTGAAATGGTTGAATGTTGACCAATTCTTTTTGGTACAGTGCCTCTGTGTATTCCTTCCATCTTCTTTTGATGCCTCCTGCATCATTCAATATTTTGCCCATAGAATCCTTCAAAACTGCAGCTCGAGGCTTGAATTTTTTCCTTCAGTTCTTTCAGCTGAAGAAACGCTAAGCGTGTTCTTTCCTTTTGGTTTTCTAACTCCAGGTCTTTGCACATGTCATTATAATACTTTACTTTGTCTTCTCAAGCCAGTCTCTGAAATCTTTTGTTTAGCTCTTTTTTATTTCATCATTTCTTCCATTCACTTTAGCTACTCAACATTCAAGACCAAGTTTCAGAGTCTCTTCTGACATCCATTTTGGTTTCTTCTCTCTTTCTTGTCTTTTTAATGACCTTTTTCTTTCTTCACATATGATGTCCTTGATGTCATCCCACAACTCGTCTGGTCTTAGGTCATTGGTGTTTGATGTGTCATATATATTCTTGAGTTGGTCTCCAAATTCAGGTGGGATATACTTAAGGCCGTACTTTGGCTCTCATGGACTTGTTTTAATTTTCTTCAGCTTCATCTTGAACTCGCATATGAGCAATTGTTAATCTGTTCCCCAGTCGGCCTTGGCCTTGTTCTGACTGACGATATTGACCTTCTCCATCGTCTCTTTCCACAGACGTAGTCGATTTGATTCCTGCGTATTCCACCTGGTGAGGTCCACGTGTACAGTAGCTGTTTACGTTGCTGAAAAAGGTATTTGCAATGAATAAGTCATTGTCTTGCAAAATTCTATTGTGTGATCTCCAGCGTTGTTCCTATCACCAAGGTCATATTTTCCAACTTTCTTTGGAAAGTTGGAAAATTTGGTCTTGTTTGTTCCCAACTTCTATGTTTCCAACTTTGTTTCCTTCTTCTTTGTTTCCAATTTTCGCATTCTAATCACCAGTGATTATCAATGCATCTTGACTGCATGTTTGATCAATTTCAGACTGCAGAAGTTGGTAAAAATCTTCAATTTCTTCATCTTTGGCTTTAGTGGTTAGTTTGTAAATTTGAATAAGAGTCGTATTAACTGGTCCTTCTTGTAGGCAAATGGATATTATCCTATCATTGACAGCATTGTACTTGAGGATAGATCTTGAAATGGTCTTTTTGATGATGAATGCAATGCCATTCCTCTTCAAGTTGTCATTCCTGGCATAGTAGACCACATGATTGTCTGATTCAAAATGGCTAATACCAGTCCATTTCAGTTTATTAATGCCTAGGATATTGATCTTTATGTGTTCCATTTCATTTCTGACAATTTTAATTTTCCCGGATTCATACTTCATACATTCCCCGTTCTGATTATTAATGGATGTTTGCAGCTGTTTCTTCTCATTTTGAGTTGTGCCACATCAGCAAATGAAGGTCCTGAAAGCTTGACTCCATCCATGTCATGAAGGTCAGTTCTACTTTGAGGAGGTAGCTCTTCCTCAGTCGTATTTTGAGTGCCTTCCAATCTGAAGGGCTCATCTTCCAGCACTATGCCAGATAATGTTCCACTGCTATTCATAAGGTTTTTCACTGGCCAGTTTTTTTTAGAAGTTGACCGTCAGGTCCTTCTTCTTAGTCTGGAAGCTCTGCTGAAATCTGTCCATCATGAGTAACCCTGCTGGTATTTGAAATACTGGCGGCACAGCTTCCAGCATCATAGGAACATGCAAACCACCACAGTATGACAAACTGGCAAATGCATGGTGAACACCTACCTATACACACACACATACATATGTATATATTTTATATAATTGGTAGTTTACCGTAGCTACAGTTCTCTACATTGATTTTTTTTAACTCAAAAAAATATCTTAGTTGTGGCTTTATATCAGTTCACAGAGACCTAACTCATTTTTTAAATGGCTGTACAGTATTCCCTTGTTTATACCATAACCTATTTTAAAGCCTCCTCTTGATGTTTCTGATTATTTGCTTTTGTAACAAACCCTTTGCTTATAATCTTATCTGTGTATCATTTTACACATGTATGTATGGGTCTACCTTTAGGACAAATTTCTAGAAGATAGACTCATAAGTGTGTAAAATGATAGGCAGGTAATTCGGGGGTCAACAGGTTTGTGTATTTTAAAATTTAATAAGAATTTCCACATTGTTCTCCATAGAGATTCTACCTTTACCATACAACGAGTTAGCATTTGTATCTAGGGCTATTTCTGGGGTTTCTATTCTGATTTATTCAGGCACTTATTTATGCATCAGTATAGTTTTACCTATTACAGCATTATAACATGTCTTTATATTTGGAAGGCTACCCCTCTGTCATCACTCATCTTTTCCAGAATTTCTTCTATTCTTGATTTTTTTCTCTTTCCATATTTACTTTAAAACAGTAATAACTAACATGTATTTGGTACTTACTAGGTACCAAGCACTGTACTCAGCCTTTTAAATGTATCAACTCACATAACTGTCATAATACTATGAGGTAGTTACTACTACTATTCCTATTTCTTTGAGAACAGGAAACTCAGGCACAGAGAGGTTAAGAAACCTGCCCAAGACCACACAGCCAGTGACTGCTATCAGAAACTGGTGTTGTTATATTCAATTTATAGAATGACATAGGGAGAATTAACATCTTTATGATGCTGAGGCTCCCAACCAAGATTATGGTATGCCTTTCCATTTGTTAAATCTTTTTTTTCATATACAACATATATACTTTTATTGTGATCACTCATAGGTAGTTTATCTGTTTTTAATTGTTATGATACATGGATTTTTTTCTTCTGCTACAACTTCTAATTGGTGGTGGTTGGAATACGTGAAAGCCATAGGTTCCTTTGTGTAATATTGGACCTAGTCTCTTTAATCAAATTTTTTATTAATTCTAGTAGCTTTCAGTTTATGCTGTTGGATTTTTCACGTAAATAATTAATACAAACAATATTAATTTTCACCTGTTCTTTTCTAATGCCCATACTTGTTTTTTCATGTTTATTGTTAAATAACAGATGATAAAAGACACTGTTGTCTCACTGCTGACTTTTAATGAGACTTGAGAATTGGAAATACTGGAATATTGTCCACACTGAGAATCGACTGGATGGCAATGGGTTTGGTTGGTTTGGTCCACACTAAGGGTCTATGGAAACCATGGTGGCATAGTGGTTAAGAGCTATGGCTGCTAACCAAAAGGTCAGCAGTTTGAATCTACCAAGTGCTCCTTGGAAACCCTATGGGGCAGTTCTACTCTGTCCTACATGGTCGCTATGAGTCAGAATCAACTGGATGGTGATGGGTTTGGTTTTTTTTTGAGGGTCTATAGAACTCAGTGCTAGAAATCCACACAGACACACAAACAAAAGCTTTTTAAGTCATTGTAAATTTATATTCTTTCAAATTTTTTTATGGGGGTGGTTACTTTTGTACTGAAGTTTTCTTTGGGGTCCCATTTGGTAGAATAAACAGCTGTACGATTAGGAAGTGTTCCCTGACAACCAATTTTAATGCTTCCTCATTTGACAACTTAAAACATCTTATTAATTTTCTGCTACAAAAGTAACACATGTTCCTTAAATAAAATTTAGAATCTGGAAAAGAATAGAAAAAATAAAATGCTTTTTTAAATGAATTTGCATGGGCCTAACAGGAGTGATCCAGTGACCACATGGTGTCTACCTGCCTCTCCATTCACAGCAGCAATGGCACTTACCTGGGTCCCCTGAGCTGTTGCTATTCCTCTCACTCTCTCCATCTTCCTGTCCATCTGCGTTCTGCTGTGTGTGCTGTAGGCTCAGCTTGTGGCAGACCTCAAAGGCCTGCCCCACCGTCCGGACAATTCGCATAGCCTGGCTCTGGGAAGGAGAAAGGAAAAGAACGAGTGAAGGCCATACAGACTCCCTGCAAAGACATGAGAAGGGTAGCGTGCGAGGGGATGTGCAGGGGGCATGTGGACAGAAACCCATGAAGCCAGCAAAGGAAAGAGATGGCAAGACCTAAGGTGCCCGTGTGCACATACTTGCCAAGAAGAGTGTGAAGACAGTTTCCCTTCCTGCAATACTCCAGAAAATGGAAACTGTCACAACATTTCTGAAACAATCAGTCAACTGAAAGAACAGACAGCAAATATATCAATTCTTGACTTGGCCCCAATTCCTCCTCCCAAGTTTAACAAAAGTAGTGGATGTGCTTCCGAATCCTTTGCCAACCGTTATGAAATGTTCAGTTGGCTCATCAAACTAAAAGGAACTTGGCCATCATTTTTTTTTTCTTTTTTTCCTGTTGCAAACTTTAGGTTTCTCTGGAGCTCCTGCAGGCCAAGGGCTGTGATGATACTGGGCTTAGAAGTCTGGCCTGAACAGTAGAGCCAACTGAAGCCCGTGGCAAAGACTTCTGGAACACCACTGGCAGCCAACTAAATCTAAAGTGAGCCTTTCCAGGACTCACTCTAAAGTGCTCACTTGGGTCTGCTCTGCGGCTACCTCCTTTCTTTTGTTTTGCTATTTAACCTATTTCTTTTACAACCCAAGAAGAAAGCTTGACCCTCCAATTTCAGTTGTCGTCAGGTTCATTCCAACCCATGGCGACCTCATGTGCATCAGAATAGAACTGTGTTTCATAGGGTTTTCAATGGCTGATTTTTCCTAAGTAGACCACCAGGTCTTTCTTCTAAGGTGCCTCTGGGTGAACTCAAACCTCCAACTTTTTGGTTAGCGGCCAAGTGCATTAACTGTTTGCACGACCCAGGGACTCCAGCTTGTCCATATCTCTTAATATTCTGCTATTTAACCAGGAGAGAAGGAGAGAAGACAAAGAAGCTCTGTTGCTGTATAGCATCTAAGGCAATGCAAGAAGATGTAAGGAAGAACCACATGGAAGTTTTGTAGGCCATGGTCTCAGTTAACTATAATTTGATGATCACCTAGCTTTCATTTTCTTTCAAGGATGGAAAATGAATTAAATGTAAAATAGAGTTGAAGAGTTCAGGTTGAGAAAGCCCAGAATGCTGCTGCTTCTATTCCAGTGGCTCCCAAACACCCCACCATAGCTCCAGTTTATTTAATTTTGCTGTCACCCTGTACCTGAGTCTAAGATTAATTACATTTTGGATGATCTGACTTCAGGGCAGCTGTAACCACCTGGTGACACCACAGAGTCCACCAATTATATTCAAAATCCCCAAGGAAACATCAGCAGTCAAGCAGAGCTTCTCATCAGCATGAAATAGCTGGTATTAGAATACTGAGCTGATGTAATTACAGACAAAGGCAAAGAATCCAATGTTTTGTTAAGCCTATGAGGCCTTGTTGAGAGTAGATGTATGATTCATTTATACTTTGCATAATACTGAAATTAGCTCATATTTCCCCATTACTAGCTTCATAAACCCCACTCCCAGGGGCTCCGGAACTTCATATATGGAACTACGCTGTAATCCATTATCTGCTAGATATAACTTCCAAAATTGCTACCCTTGCTATTTTCTCAAGACTGGCGTCACTTCTATGTTCCTACCTTTTATTTCAGGCAAGAGCATCCACGTTACTCTGAAAACGCATCTTGGCCAACCAATATCCACATCCCCATTTTAGATCTCAGTCTACTTTCACTCCTCCTGATATTCCTCAACTCCAAGTACTTCCTAGAAGTGATTTCTTACAGTTAGAACCTCTCTTAGCCGATTAAGCTAACTCCAGGGATGTTCTTACCTGATCTCTCACCCGGAGCATCCTGATGTCTCTAGGTGGTGAGAACCTCAAGGCAAGTGAAACAGGAAGAGATAGGTAACTTACTTGGGGTTCCCCATCACCCAGAGGTGGGTTAGAAACTAGAACTTCTGTCTCCTATGTCCAACCTTAACTTCCTCCCATTCTCAACCATGAGCTTGCAGTAACTGAGAGGCAACTGTCCTATCTTACAGGAAGTTGAGGAACTGTAGGCACCAGTCCTAAGCAAGAGGCCCTCACCCTTCTTCTAAAATATACACAAAGGTGTGATTTACAAGGCACAGTGCCTATTGAAACTGGTCCTAGTATAACCCAGCTTTCCATGTCTTCTTTGGTGACAAGTTGTTGCCCAGGTTAGGATGTGGAGCTATGAAGCTCCAATCTCAGGCTTCTCAAGCAGAAAAATCCACAAATAAGAAGACAATGCTCCACCCAAAAGTATCATTCTCGTGGCCTCTTTGGGTCTTTTTGTTGCTTATTCTCTTTATGAAAATAAGAGCAGACTGTCTACAGTTAATTTTTGGCAGCAAACCTCATTACTAGTGTCTTAGTTATCTTGTGATGCTGTAACAGAAATACCACAAGTGGATGGCTTTAACAAAGAGAAATTTATTCTCTTACAGTCTAGAAGGCTAGAAGTCCGAATTCAGGGTGCCAACTCCAGGGGTAGGCTTTCTCTCTTTGTCAGCTCTGGGGGAAGGTCCTTGTCATCAATCTTCCCTGGTCAAGGAGCTTCTCAGCACAGGGACCCCAGGTCCAAAGGATGCACTCTGCTCCTGGTACTACTTCCTTGGTGGTATGAGTTCCCGCTGTCTCTCTGCTCACTTCTCTCTTTTATTTCTCAAAAGAGATTGACTTAAAACACAACCTAATCTTGTAGATTGAATCTTGCTTCATTAACATAGCTGCCGATAATCCCACCTCATTAACATCACAGATGTTGGATTCACAACCCATAGGAAAATCACATCAGATGACAAAATGGTGGACAATCACACAATACTGAGAATAATGGCCTAGCCAAGTTGACAGATATTTCTGGGGAATACAATTCAATCCATGACAACTAGCAAACCTTAAATTCTGCCTACCAAGCAGAGCCAGTGTCCGTTATACACAGCCCTTCCCCCTCCCTGCTGCCCTGCCTTTTGGGAGTTTTGTTCTCTTAGGCATCTGTATCAGAAGCAGAAAAAATAAGTGTTTTGAGTTCTAGAAATAAAATACAGTCAGTCTAACTGATATGTAGAGATTAAGTAATTCCATGAGGTTATTTTATGTAAATTAACTCAGATATATCAAACTGAATAAATACATGATAAGACTAAGTTATTCTTTTCCTGACTCTATCATTTCCAGAATACAGACCCAGTTTTCCTCTTTAAAATACAAGGTGATACAGAAAACTCCAAAATCATTACTACGTCTGTTGCTATAAAATCTCAGGTTCTCCTAATGAGGACATGTTACAGAATCCACCATCTCTGTAAATCACAGACACTTTGCTTAACTAGCTTGAACAATGATACTAAAGATTTAAATGTTCCCAAAAAAGTGTCACTGAATCTATGGGATTAGACAGGTGTAAAGATAGATTTCTAAACTTATCTTTGGAAGGAAGCACTCGGACTTATGTAAGAAGATAGAGGTGGTGAGAAATGACTTTACAGAGGGTCTTCATTTCTTATGCATCACAAGATGACGATGGGTGATGTGATATGTATACTAGGACTGTGCATTTGAAGAACCTAGACTCTGGCTCAAATCTCTATTCTGCCACCTTTATCAAGGACAAAAGTATGGAACATACCCACCAGGCTCAGCCAACTACTTACCTGCCCAAAATGATCATAAGGAAGCAGACTGGTTTTAATGCTTAATATCTATGTGCACTCACCAGGTTTCATTTTGACATTTAGTATATTTACCAGGATTAGCAGTAGATTCTTACCTCTATCTGACTACCCTGTAAAGGTAGAAAATGCAAGCTTTAAGATTACTTGTCCTGCCTTTCATGTTGTTGTTAGGTTGTTAGGTGTCATTGAGTCGGTTCAGACTCATAGCCACCCTATGCACAACAGAACGAAACACTGCCCGGTCCTGCGCCATCCTCACAATTGTTGCTATGCTTGAGCCCATTGTTGCAGCCACTGTGTCAATCCATCTCTTTGAGGGTCTTCCTCTTCTTTGCTGACCCTCTGCCTTACCAAGCATGATGTCCTTCTCCAGGGACTGATCCCTCCTAATAACATATCCAAAGTATGTGAGATGTAGTCTCGCCATCCTTGCTTCTAAGGAGCATTCTGGTTGTACTTCTTCTATGTTGGAAATGTCAATTAAGCACACTGCTTCCTCAGACTCCATTTCCTTACTATGCTCCCTTTATTACAGTATTTCTATGTTGTATTTCTGTAACTTCAACTGAAAAAGCAAATCAGCAATGTCTCTACAGCCTCCCCTCTACCATACAGAGGAATACACATAAGAATAACATACATGACAGTACTTCCCATAGTACCTGGCATATAGTAAATGCTTTTATTTTGAATATGGAAAACAGTGTACCAAAAAGTAGTGAGGACAAAAAATAAAAAAGTAGTTAAGGAAGAGTTAGTGTTATGAGTTGAACTGTGTCCCCCAAAAATACGTGTTGTAAATCCTAACCTCTTTGCCTGTGGTTTCAATTCCATTTGGGAATGGGCTGTCTTTGTTATGTTAATGAGGTAGGATTAGTATAGGGTGTATCTTGAGTCAGTTTCTTTTGAGATAATAAAAGAGATTAAATAAGTGAACAGGGCAGAGAAGGGGGAAGAGACATGCCAAGTCACATGAAGACTGTCCAAGAGCAGAAGCTCAGAAGAGACAAGGACCTTCCTCCAGAGCTGACAGAGAGAGAAAGGCTTCCCCAAGAGCTGGCACTCTGAATTCAAACTTCTAGCTTGCTAAACCCTGAGAAAATAAATTTCTGTTTGTTAAAGCCACTCATTCTTGGTATTTCTGTTACAGCAGCACTAGATAACTAAGACAGAGTTATTTTATCAATAAGAGAAACACATAGATATTAAGAAAATCATCTCTTGTGTATATATGCACAACACATCAAAATGACTAATGCTATGATCTCCCTCCTC